TGTTCATTTCCTGGCTGACATGTATTTTTGTTAAAAGTCCACCTTTGTTTTGTGCCACATCAGATAATGACTCACCTCTTTGTTTTTTTTGTGTGATTACAGTCGACATGAGAATCATCGTCTGTTAAGTGTCTTTTCCTATCATCTACGATGCGACTTGGTGTTGACATGTTGGAGGCCGCGTAGTCCTGTAAGGCGATCGGGTCCGTGACGACAAAACACTTACTCTCGCACTCAGGCTCCTCGGTTGCTTCTTGGCATGTCAGAACACTCAACCTGATGATCCGAGACTGGAGTAGTTACAAAAGGAACAAAAAAGTAACAAACTGTGTTATAATTTGTTACAGGGTTGAGTCCCTTGGCATGCGTTTCTTGACTTTGTGCACGGTATCCCCAATGAGGACATATTTTCTCAGAAACTTATAGATAGGGAAACCAAATTGGCATGTGTTTTCAGGACGTAAATGTCGTGGTGGAGTTAAAAACCAAAACCAAATAGGAACAGAACACTGTGACGGGGGATATTGATGACCATGTCTTCTTGTTTCCTAGGGGCGGTGGGGTAGCCTAGTGGGTAAAGCATTCGCTCGTCACGCCGAAGGCCCGGGTTCGATTCCCCACATGGGTACAATTTGTGAAGCCCATTTCTGGTGTCCCCCGCGGTGATATTGCTGGAATATTGCTAAAAACGGCGTAAAACCATACTCAGTCAGTCAGTCAGTCTTGTTTCCTATACATTAGATACACAGCAGTATGCGTTAACCAAAAACATAGGCAAAACACAGATTAGGTTCTTGAGAGTCATTTAGAAGTTTGTATTCAAGTAAAAGGCAAATATTATGGATGGCAACTTCTTCTGTATTGTATGTCACAACGTTTCCGGGCTATTCCTTGCCCTTTCGTCAGGTGAATTTTAACAAACAAGATACATCAATGAGTATATATACTAAATGTACAAGAAGCCAGTCGATATAGTTAAGCCGGACATGCTTGACCGTGGTTCTGGCATCAAACGAGATAAAGAATGGAGGATCATCACCTTTCAGTAAATATTCATTAGTGATTTTCCTTTGACTAATACAGCATTGTCTTGAAATGGCATTTTCATATTTGGACAGAAAAATCCAAGAAGGTGTAATTTGACATCATAAATAACTCGGTGAGATAGGGACGGTGGGATAGCCAAGTGGTTAAAGCGTTAGCTCGTCACGCCGATGACTCGGGTTCGATTCCTCACATGGGTACAATGTGTGAAGCCCATTTCTGGTGTCCTCCGCCGTGATATTGCTGAAATATTCTAAAAGCGGCGTAAAGCAAACTCACTCACTCATTCGTCCTAGATTGGGAACGGAGTTGCTGTGCAGAGCTGCGTCGTCGTTAATCATCGGGGTTAGTTTGGTTTCGTTATTGTTTAACGCCGCACGGTTCATGCAGGAAGCAGATGTACTGTTAATCCCCATGGTCCCAAGTATGGTGATCTCCTTTCATTTATTGTTAATCTATAGCCTGTTTTTATATTGCGTTGTACTCTATAGTTTGTTTAATGTTTTAGATTTAATAACTTGTTTTACATTTATATCTGTGATATTCTAGTTGCTTTTACTGTCCTCTGTCGAGTTTTTCATAATTTACCTTTATTTATTATGAAATCATAACTTGGTTTCAGCCACGATATGGCTGAAATATTGCCGAAGTAACTTAAAATCTTAACTCATTCGCTTAACTCCGCACTCAGCAATATTCCAGCTGTATGACGGCGGTCTGTATGTAATCGAGTCTGGACCAGACAATCCAGTGATTGACATCATGAATCATCAGTCGGGGTACTATTACATGCATCAACCAAGTCATGTATTTTTCCATACACCAGTCACGTTCTCAAACGATCCTGAAGTATCTATTCAGATATCCATGACGATGTCGTGATAATGCTTCGACATTGTTTCGTGTATTAGTGATGATCTCATTGCATATACAAACTGAAGTATAAATGTCAAAAGTTCAGACATCGAGTCAACGCATATCGTGTCAGTGCAACCCTTGTATTTTGTACATATTAGACGGGTCTATAGGAGTTAAAAAACGTTTTGCTCATACAATATTCAACGCCGAACCTAAAAATATCCCAGTCATATGTCTGCAATACAGAAAAACTAACTTTACACCAGACAATCCAGTTTTTGTCATGACGAGAATTGATTTTCGTAATTGTGATAGGGTATCAGTCTGACCGTCAAACCCATTTCTTCGAATCTTAGGACAAGCCTGGGTTACTGGGGACCTAACTTCTTAACAAGAAAACAGGTTTGGAGATTTCATAGGCTGGTGGTTGGCTGGTTTGTTGTTTAACGCCGCACTCAGCAATATTCCAGTTATATGGCGGCGGTCTGTAAATTATCGCGTCTGCAGCAGACAATCTAGTGATTAACAGCATGAGCATCGATCTACACAAATGGGATACGATGACATGTGTCAACCAAGTCAGCGAGTCTGACCACCCGATCCCGTTAGACGCCTTTTACAACAATCATGGGTTGCTGAAGATCAGTTCTAACCCGGATCTTCACGGGTCTCAAACATGGGTCTCAAACATGGGTCTCAAACATGGGTTGCTGGAGATCAGTTCTAACCCTGATCTTCACGGGTCTCAAACATGGGTTGCTGGGGACCTAACGTCTTAACCCGAAAACGAAAAGGTTTGGACATTCCATCGGAAGCAGTGAGTTAGTGAGTGAATATTGCTTACGGCTGCATCAGCAATTTTGGAACTATTCACAGCGACCTTAGCAAGCAGAATAGACGTTTCACAATGTATGTTGAAGCAGCTTTGGTTGTGCACGCAAAATACAGTAACGATTTGGATATAGAGGAATAGCTGTTGGAAGCTAATCTTGAAATAAGGAAGGAGAGAAGTAAGTTCGTTTAGTTTATTCAACAAAGCATGCCATGACATACAATTCATTCTATTATTATGACATATATACATTATTCATATATGATACTAATAATAACAACATTCTAATACATTATAAATTTATATCTGAGAGTAGAAGCCAGTTTGTTATATTACAGTCAGTATGTACCGTAAATGTGTAAGTATGTTCGGTATATGTACAGTAAAGTAGAGCAATTTCGGCAATGACTAATAGTATTAGTGTACGTAAGTCCGAAAACATTTGAAGTAAATTTAAGTCTACCAGGTTTTTAATCGTAGTATTTTTGTCATTTTAATGTATTGTTAAATCTCAGCATAAACGCCAATGGCTGAAGGGGTGGTGTAAATCCAGCTCGGGTCCATGCAGGTAGCAAAAGTAATGTAAGTCCCCATGGACCCTAGTATGGTGATCTACCTTCCGTTGTTGGCGATCTATAGCCCGGTTTTTGTATTGTATTGTCTTCTTTAATTAACATGTTTTAGTTTTACATTCTAGTTCTATATTCATATCTGTGACACTCTAGTATTTTTACTGTCCATCGTCGACAGGTTTTACTCTTCATAATATTTTCATTTTTTATTGTATAAATTGTTTTCGTCAGGATATGGCTGATATATTGCCGATTTGACGTTAAATATTAACTCAATCAGTCACTAATAGAAATAGTTTACCGAAAACCTGAGTAATTATAACATCTTCAAAGAGCAGGCACGGTAACATGCACATAGCGATTGTACATATGTAAGTTCGTGCCTATTTGGGTAACTGTGGTAAACGATTCATTGTAAGTAATAACTTGATTCACGAAAATACATACGTAGAGCACATACGGTAAACTGCTCAAAGTGACAAATCTGACATTTATTTCGGTAAAAAGGTAAAAGCATTCCGTAAGGTTTAGTAATAATTTTCACACATAATTATTTTGACAAATACAGTAAATGATAGTTTGGTGATTGATCTGAATAAAGACACGAAAGTGTACGCTAGATGATATATCTCTGTTTTGATGAAAGAAATGGTAAGTTTCAGTTGTGATGATTTTGGGGACTACGGTAATATGACTATCGTTAGCTTACCATTATATCGGTTATTGATATTACACACGTAGAGCATTTACGGTAAACTACTCATATATATTACATAGGGAACACGATACATACTTAGGTAAAGACGGTAAACATTCTTGCACATAATTGAAGTCATCGTTTTCACCACATGAAAGTTAGAGGGATTTGAAAATCAAGATTATTGATCTGAAATTAGATACGAAAGGTAACGGTAGAAGTTTAGTTGTAGAGAGAGAATATTTAGTTTTATAAGGGATATTTGCAGCGCTTGACGATGGACTTTACTTGAACATAATGGGATAGTGGGGCAGTGTGAAGGAACATTTGTAGCGCTTGACGATGGACTTTGCTTGAACATAAAGGGATAGTGGGGCAGTGTGAAGGAACATTTGCAGCGCTTGACGATGGACTTTGCTTGAACATAAAGGGATAGTGGGGCAGTGCGAAGGAACATTTGCAGCGCTTGACGATGGACTTTACTGGAACATAAAGGGATAGTGGGGCAGTGTGAAGGAACATTTGTAGCGCTTGACGATGGACTTTACTTGAACATAAAGGGACAGTGGGGCAGTGTGAAGGAACATTTGCAGCGCTTGACGATACACTTTACTTGAAAAGAAAGGGAAAGTAGGACAGTAACCTCGTTATTTGATTGTTAAATAGTGTTAGCGTACGGTTAAAACTGTGAAAACGCTGTTGGTTAACTCAAAACACCGCAATCGACATTAACAATTTATGTAAATATTTTCGAGCAATGATGAAAGATTTGTTTTACCTTTTCTCGCATATTGCACGTAGGGTATAGAACCAGTAGAATTAACAAATGGAATTCGAAAAGAAGTATAAATGTTTCTGCGAAGATTAAATTGCACACGACAGCGACAACACAACTGTGCCTCAGCGACATTATAAATATGTCGTATTGTCAAGCATTTTAGTGCAGTTTTTACATCTTCTGCCGCGACACATTTTGTCCTTGATAACAAATGTCAGTTCAAATGTCAGTTGTGACATTGCTTTCTTCGATGTCTTCACACTGGTCTTCACATATGGCATCACATTGTTTCCTGACCTCCTGCATGAGGAAAACGATGTCCTCTGATACATTCAGGCGATCTGGTTGGCTCTCCAATGACAGGCAGACCTTCAGTATGTCCTGAATCAGTGACATGAATCAATATTTAACCAAAATAAAACCGCAACAATATATAAGAGAGGAAAGTATGCTTAAATACACACTCATAACTGTCCATTGAACGTGTGTTTATGATCAGGAAACTATCAAATGCTGATGATTCAAAAAGCTCCCGAAAAAGGGAGTTTATCCGGTCTTCCCGATGGCACTGTCACAAACACATGCAAAGGCCAGTCAGTTAGTAACAAGAACAAACACAATGGCATATGTTGCAAGCCAAAATGGAGAATTGTACGGACTTCATGTTTCATGCATCATATTTGGAAAAGTACTCTATATGCCCTCTAAACAAATCCTTAACTTGTATGCATGTTTGGGTCTATCTACACAGTACCAAATTAATGAACACAATATGTGGGATGTATCTATTTTTCAATGATTATCATATCAGCAGGTGTCTAATACTGCCAACCAAATAGCAATTCTCACATCGTACTCACGCTGGGAATCGAACTCCTTCGTTGTGACTAGCGAACGCCTTAACCACTCGGCCAATCCACTTCCCCGTATATTAATGTGCTACAAGGTACGTGACACACTGACATTAATTGTCACAGTAATGTGAACTCTCTCATTTCATTTCACATGTCCACAATACACATGAATGACTATTGTGAAAGCAGCCGTAATGGCATAAGTGCCCCTCAAATTACCTTTCTATACCTGCTGACAAATATGTTTTCATTGCTGACTGGTTCCAAGTGTCTTTGCAGTTGGTGAAGATCAAGTATAAAGACAATGATGAGGCATATCAGGTCATATTTCGTGTCTCGAGGCACATCAGGTGACTGCAAAGTTGTTCCAAGAGTTTCCATGTCAGGGCTGGGATGCCAACGTAGGTCCGGATATGATCCATCGGATGCTTAACGTTGCTTGTTCCTGATAGGAGTTACAGATTACATACGACCTGGGTGCCGTTGTACAAAACAAACTTACGCTAAGGCTACCTTAAGTCTATGTTAAAGTATGGGAGTTACGGTCACCTTAGCGCTAAGATCGCTTTGTACAACGGCACCCTGGACAAATATCCTTATCTTCAAAATGATTAATTTGCTTCGACATGTATATGGTCCATGTGGATAACACAGGATCTAGCACACTAGAACTGGCCATTACCAAAGAGGGTATTTGATAATTTATTCGAAAAACAACTGTGTAAAGCACAGGAAAATCCGTAAGTCTCATTAACTGATATATTCTGTCAGGATATTAGCTTTGACCAAAGACGTGTTGTTTGCATTAACCGAAATACTTTGTTAAAACACATATATGCATACCTGGTCCTGCTGTAGATGGTCTCTCCTCTCCCTTCTGGCTTCTCTCTACCCAAAAATATATTTCATGTATGAAACTAAAAGTAATATTTGCATAAGTCATTTGGGCTACAAATGCAATTATGCATACGAAATTGCTGTGGAGTCAGTGTGCTTGAAGGGGTATTGTTCCTCACACCCAAACCGTGAAGACCATGATATTAGTCTTCAGCAAGCCTTGTCTGGCGTAAGAGGAGACAACGGGGATTGTACGAACAGGCTCCCTGATGACACCAGATCACATCAATGGTCATTAGTACGTACAACAAACAAACAAAACCACTTACCCAGGCCTGTACTATAGATGGAACGGTATACAATACCGGGTTTAAAGCCGAGTTCACAGGAAGAATTGTAACTGCTGTCCAAGCATATACCTTCCCGTCCAAAGGTATGCCTCGTAGTGACATGATCCCTAGATTACAAGATTTGATGTGATAACTGATGCAGTATTTATCAAAATGAACACTGGAGATATCGATAATTGTTTCTGACGATGATCAACGTTTGATGTCACTGCCTAGTTGATTTGTCCGGTCATTGCTTAAGCGCTGAACCAATGTCAAGATGTTTTACACCGTTATTCGCTTTATGGGGTATGGAAATAAACATAGATAAAAACATCAGTGTTTTAAGGATAGGGAACATCTATCAAGACATGCACAATGAATTAATGATGGAACAAAAGTGGAAACACTGAATGCGTATAAGTGCGCTTCGTCTGGTGTAAGCAAATCTATTTTAGTAATAAGACTGACTGACTGAGTTTGGCTTTACGCCGCTTTTAGCAATATTCCAGCAACATCACGGCGGTTTAGTAATAAGAACAACCATAAGGAAATACACTGTTAAAGTTGCATTTGAAATTGTTGATAAGAAAATTGTACCAATTCGGACATACATTAGTGAAATATAAGCTTTTACGTATGGAAAGTGATGACAGAGAATGCATGGTTACCGAGTGTAGTTGCATATACTGTAAATGTCGACAATAATTATCGTGTGTCAAATGTTTTGTTAAATGCCTTAAATGTAGGTTACGCTTGATATCACTCCCATCCAACAGATATATTTGTCTGTGATGTTTCAAGTAAAGATAAACTTGTGACCGTATATATACCTACATTTATGTACTTATGTCAGAAATGTATTGTTGGGATTTGGTTAAAGTACAGAATGGGTTTCACAAGGCGCAGGTAATTGTAATTTATTTATAGAATGGGAGAAAGATTGTTCTATCCAGGATTGGCATTTTGCTGTGGCAAGTACACAAATTTGTGTATGTAAATCTTAGCATAAGCCTTCACCGATTCGCATGTGTTTTTGAAATTTGGATAAGTAGTTGTTCAGAAATCCTCTTGTAAAATTTCGAATTGAATGTAATCTTTTTGGAATTTAGAAAATATGTGGATGTGGATGTGGAATTTATGACGAGAGTGCTCTCTGTAACGCACGCAATAGAGTAGAAAGTGAACACCATGCCCTAAACATCTGCGCTCTATACACTGTGTAAACCAGTAATGTAATCGATTTGCAAACACTAGGTACATGTAGTCAGAAGTCTTTAGTTTATATATCCTCCATTAAAGATCGAAATGTATGTATAATATGGCTCATGAGTCAACTGACCTTGAAGCTCAGTAAGCTTCTTGTCTCTCAACGAATCTACTGATGCAGCTCATAATACTCACCCAAGACACCGATAGGGAACCAACACAGGAAGTCAGTGAGGACGACTAGGATAAGTCTTTTGGCAATGGCGGTGTCGATATCACGACCTCTTCGCACCTTTGATGAAGCTGCAACTGCCCTGTAAATCAGAGTTTGGCAAATACCTATGAGCAGGAACATATCGTGGCCGAATACTGCCATCCTGGTTGTCTGTCATTTGAAAAAGGAAGTGCCAGACAGACACTGTTCTGGGAGTAGAGGTTCCACTTCAGTGAAGGTAGCAGAGGGATACCAGCTAGGAGGATGGCAATGATCCAAGTAATTGCTGCAGACACACCGGCTGTCTTTAAAGAAAACCTGAGTTGTCCAAACGGAAACGCAACGGCCACCAGTCTGTCTAACGTGATAAGTGTTATGAAGATGCATGAAGCTTCGGAGGACAAGGTGGACAGGAATCCAGCAGCCTTACAAACAACGCTGTGTCTCCATTGATGATCATGCCAAACGTACGATCCTTTGAATGATATGTCCACAAATCCAATGATCATCATGTAGAGGCCCATGAAGAAATCGGCAATCGAGAGATTTGCCACAAGAATACCATAGCTTTTCTGAAGGGATTTTCTATTATAAATGAATCTGTACACAACCACCAGGATGTTTCCAACAAAAGCAAACAGAGCAATGATCCACAGAAGCATTCGAAGGATATCTACGCCTAGTAAGTCTTCACATGAGGCAATGGTACTTTTACTTGAAAAACAGTTATATTTAGTGAGGCTTGTTGGTCTCACAGACTCGCAGCAGAGCTTGTATGAATCCGTTTGTAGCTTTTTCAATGACGACAACCCATCAAAGCTTCCTTCATGAAAATGTAGAATGTTGTTTTGACGAATATCAAGGTATTCAAGCAACTTCAAGCTTAAAAATGATCCATTATCAATGGAATTAATATGACTGTGTGAAAGATTCAGTGTCCGAAGATTTGAAAGACCCCGAAGAATAGTTGCTTTTAGCTCCATAATACACGTATTAAATAAATTCAGTTGTTCTAATTTTGGCACTTTTGAAAATGTACCTTTGCCAATTTTTGAGAGGTTGACATTGTTTGATAAGTCAAGTTGTTTCAAATTCGGGAAGCTTGAAAATGAATGTTTAACTAGGTGATCTATTTTATTGTGACTTATATCTAACATTAAAACATTTGAAAGCTTTGGAAAAACTTCCTCCATCCGGGTTATATTGGATGATGACATAATGAGGACAGTCAGATAGTGGAAGTCCCATGCACCAACATCAACTGATGGAAGATTCATTCCTGACAGGTCAAGTTTTCGAACATCTTTTGGAAACTGATCCATATCAGTGAAATTGGAGTTGCACTGTATGACTCTTCCGCTACAGATGCAAAACGGTGGACACTCACTCTGACACATGCGTTCATCATCTCCAAGTGGACAATGCCGGACACCGTCACACAACTGACTTGGTGGGATACAGTATCGCTCCCCGAACATCGAAAGTAACCTGGACATGTATACCCGTCTGAAAGAAAGATGATCGGGATGTTGACAACATGTTGACAGGGGCATTCATTAACATGCTGACAAATACGTAACTCCACAACCTCGACACTGACTGGCTTTAGGCGATTTTGCTGTAAATACTATTCACGTGTATATGTGATTTGTGGAAAACAGCATCAGTAAAAAGTATTGTAGTTGAATCACTTTGATGAGTTATGTTAATATACTTGCTCTACCGGTCTATGAGATGAGAGTGAGTGAGTTTAGTTTTACACCACAATCAGCAATATTCCAGCTATATGGCGGCGGTCTGGAAATAATTGAGTCTGGACCATTCAATCCAGTGATCAACAGCATGACCATCAACCAAATCAGCGAACCTGACCACCCGATCCCGTTAGTCGCCTCTTACGACAAGCATGGGTTACTGAAGGTTCATTCTAGCCCGGACCTTCACGGGTTGAGATGAGAATCCTATTTTATGTTGCACAGTGTGGACACAACTGAGATATAAGACCTTTATTCGTGGAGACAACTATCATTAATGAAAAAAGGGTGGCCCAGACATAGTCCCGCATATTGACGGAGTCATTGTGAATGCGTATCAGGATGTACAAAATATTGTTTCATCTGATTTTGCATTAAAGCACTATTTTTTAGACGTGGAATTGGACAATTTTATGTAATATGACATGCAGCATAGGTCATGTCGTGAACCATCACGTTGCAGATTGGACCACCTCCGTGGTGTAGTGGTTAGAGCGTCCGCCCGGAGAGCGGAAGGACGCGGGTTCGATCCCCGACTGCGTCATACCAAAAGACGTTAAAATATGGTACTTGATGGTCCCTGCCTGGCGCTCGGCATTAATGGGTACAACAAGAACTGGTCGGCTTGGAGTCAGTATTATGCGTCTGAGTGGGGTATTCCTGCTTCACTGCGGCATGGTGTCTCAGTGGGCACTATAAAACCAGCTTAAGTCTGGGCTAGTACAAACAGCCGCACATACACATACACACGCATGCACGTCGTCATATGAGCGAAATATTCTCCAGCACGACCTTAAACCCAATTTCACCTCACCACTAGTTTGGAGTCATTTTAAAACTCACCACAATTTTGTTCATCGACATCATCCGGACAGTCGAGGAGGCCATTGCATACAAATTGTATTGGGATGCAGTAGCTGTTAGGACACTTGTAATGCGTTTCACCACATTCCACAAAACCTAGACAGAAAGTGTATGAATATACAAAGAAAGATTATTGGGATTGTATTGAACCGTATTTACCATACATTGAAAGAAAGATCTACTGATATGATCATAAGACATGGTCATCAATATCCCCCGCCACAGTGTTCCGTTCCTATTTTGAGAACTATTCATTCTTCCTACATAAAGCGATACATAAGCTGTAAAATGAGAAAATCTGTTCCCACTAGGATAACGTGCACTAAGTCAAGAAACGCATGACAATAGGCAACTCTGTAAAGAATCGTAACACGGTTTCCGTTTTGAACTCCATCAAGGCATTCATCTTTTGAAAACACATACCAAATTTGGATTCCCTATCTATAACGGTTTCTGAGAAAATCTGTTCCCATCATCTCATATGGACGGACTGACGGGCGGAGCTCAGACCTATATGCCCCTCCAACTTCGTGGCGTGGGAAGGGTAATTACTAATTTAAACTGACACACCTAATCATACCAACGGGTTATAGCAATAGTTCTGATACTGAATCAAAATCAACTTACTGCAGTTTCCGTCACTTGGGAAATGAATGACAGCTTTTCCTAACATGTCTATGCTGTACACACAAGCAGATATGGTGGATGTCTTCCCATGAGACTCAAGGATGTCTTCCGATCAGTACCATACTCTTTTCTCATGTAAAAGAAATGGCTATGGTGAATTTTCAGAATACAAAATGACAATTAGAGTTTTACATGGTAAAGGCAGCCCCGCGTAAATGAGCGTTTTGATATGTCTATGTGCTTACGTTTGGTCTTTGTGTTGTTTTCTCCTCTCCATTGCCGCAATCACAGTCAACAACGCCGTCACCAACCCATGAGTCAGGTATACACTTGCCGTCATGACACGAGAAATTCTTACATAGCCGCCATGCTAAAGGATAGAATAGAAGCACATATCTTTTTCAGTACATTGTGTTCCATGGGAGTTTAAGACACGATCATATTCTGTATAAAGCAAACAATGAGAATATCAAGCCTGTTCACCCCACTCAAAACATGTTTAACCAAAATTGTCATCCAGCAATCATGACATCTGATCAAGAACTTAACAAAACAAACTTGATAATGTCATTTACCACAATCTGACTCGTCCGTCTTGTCGTAGCAGTTTTCGAACAGGTCACATCTTTTGTGGGAGTTAATGCATTGCCCATTTCTGCATTTCCATTGGCCATCCGCACACTTCCCTATTTCTTGAAACAACGTCATGAACAGTTTGAATACGAGAAATGTCCAGCTCAACAATATCTGCTGACAATGCGGTTCTCTTTAGAAAAGGTGTAGCTATGAAATCAGCTCAGGAATACCACTCAACAAGCCAATAGTATATAAGCTGTTTACCTTTCCAGTAAATGCTAGGACTGCACGGTATTACCAGTATACCGGTATACGCTTTTCAAACGATACGTATTGCAATTATTATATTTTTTTGAGAACCTGTATATTGGGTTAAGAACATAAAAAAAGTTACTGTGATTATCTTTATGGTTTAAATTAAAATGTACACAAACTCTCATGCACAACACATGTTTTCCTTCGTTGTTCAATAACAATATGGCATATTGTAGTACTATAAATTTTATAGAAAAGGAAATGAAATCCCTGACAATGCAACCTAATTTTGAGAATGTTTTCATCAGAATCATAACATATATGTTTAAGGATTTATGATGTAGAAAAAAGGATTGACATGCGAAATTAGTGTCACTCACTGTCAAACACTTAAGTTCCCAATATATCGCAATACGTATCGCAATATATTGTAATACAATTTGTTTGACAATACACAATCCTAGTAAATACAGGACAATTATACATTATACACTCACTGCAGTCTTCATCTGAACCATCTGAACAGTCGCGTGTACCGTCACAGTAGAAGGAGAAAGAGACACACCCTCCGTTGGTGCACTGAAACTGGCTGCTAGAGCAGGACGTTCCTTTAAAAGCAAGGTTAAACAGTCAGTGTTCTTGATGGCGCATGTCAATATCCATCACGATAGGTCTTTCCAAAACAATGTGAGTGAGTGAGTTAACATTTATAGTCACATTGGCAATATTACAGTCATATCGTGACTTAAAAAGTCATAAATTCCTAGTATGCGCAATTAAATTATAAAAACCTGTCAGCGAAAACTCCCATCGTAATATTATAAAAACCGTGAACACAACCACATGTGAAATTTGCAGATCGTTTCGGTATCTACAGTTTGTGAAAACATGGGGTTCTACCTTTTAAGGAACAAAGCAGAAACAAAATATCCCGTCTACTACTTCGTCCAAAATTCCAATCGTAATATTATAAAAATCGTCCACCTTGTTTGCCTGTATATATTATCTGGAAAACGTACTGGACTTGTAAACAGCATGTTTCCATGGATGTATCTGGACATACCAGGAGGCAAATATTCAGCAGCTCATCTGCAGCTATTCTCAGTAAAACATCTCACTCAAAATATTTACACCACCCTAAAATGACACTGAATATAAGGAAATCCATTTTTTTAATAATCCTTTCCAATTTATCTTTCTATGTGTACTTTGTTGTGGAATCCTAATTTACGAACTTCCACTATACTGGACTTCATGAACTGCCAGCATTTATGTACAGGTATGTCACACCACCATAAACACAAAGAATCCAAGATACAGTCTGCACCTGTACACTGACCCATCTTCCAGAAATAGGAAACCTGTGATGCAAAACCTTTGAACAGAGGATCCACAGTAATCCAAATAATTAACTAGCATTGAAATAGAATGTTACACAACATACAAATATACTGCTTTTTCTTCAGATATATTTATCTGCTAACTACTAATGTAAATAAGAGGCAAAAGAATATATTCAAAGTTTAAAGCTTTTTGTCAATAATATTACATATTGACATTATTGCTTCTTAAACAATGATAATCTTATTAGATCTGAGACCATATCCCTTAGGGACATAACACTAATTCTGATCTATTTCCTTTTCTGAGATACTTACTAGTGTCATGAAAATTATATTAAAGTTGTTTAACAATTTGGTAAAAGTCCATAACAAAAGTTTAGGAAAACACACATAAAAATGTCATGAAGCTTTCACCTCCTGCAAACCAGTGTGCAATTGAATATGAATTTAAGCTTATTTTCCAAAAAGCATCAACAAACCTTGAACAATTTGTCCAAAACCAACATCTTAATAAACACTACTTTGGCTCAGACTTCAAATATTGGTAACCTCCTCAGAAGCTTATGATTTCTAAGAAGTATTACATGAAATCAGGGTTGAATATATGTTTCAATATCCATTCCAGTTACATGAATAGTCAACTTAGAATTCTGTAAGTTAGATTAGACCGGGGTGTGACTAAAACGTAGCCTTTTTTTTTTTTTCAAATTTTCTGGATGTTGAAATAACTTTATTATGAGTGATGATATTAGTAATCACTTTCAGAATAATCTTATTAGTAAATATATTATTTAAAAGACGAAATATATCTTAAAACAAACTAGCTAAGGTAGTACCAAGTGATTGTTCAGCCATGATATGTACATGTATATAGTGTTTGTTTGCCTAGTTCTGCCTTAAATTCACATGAATCTGATATGTGAATTAAATAAGTAAGTATTAATAATTGATTGGATTATTATTTATTTTATTACCTTTCCAACATCATTAAAACATACACTGCTATCATTTCCAGCGAATTATCATTAAAATGACAGAACTATGTTATTACTCCTAAAATGTACCAATGTACCTCCCCTACATGTAACAAAATTATGTTGTAACAAAAATTCAAACAAATAATGTTCTCATAGTCAGGAAATAAACTTTTATTTCACTCTGTCCGATATTCCAGAAAGTCACTTTTCTTCTCACATACTTTGCGTCTCCGATCCACATGGAGTAAGGTAATTAAAAATAAGGTCCAACAACTTTATAGAAATTCTGAAATATTTAAGACATGGTTTTATAGACACTCATTTGAATTAATTTTGACATTTAAATATTGCGTGATAGGCAACTGCTGACACTGACAATATTTCCGTTTGTATAAAAAAATAATAGTCTTCGAATATTTTGCACTATCAACAGATACTGTACTGTGCATAGGCCTTAAGGTTGTGCTTTTGAAACTTTAAAACATCCTAAAATGTGTGACAAATTTAAGAACATCTAAGGGTGAAGGCAACCATATCCACCACATTGTTCTTTAATGTAACACGTTTTTCTAACTCGTTGTCAGATTGTTTACATTGTGTCACGGCTTTCTCGCCTGCCTCATGTCAGGTTTATGGTGTACCAACTCAATGCCCAGTAGTGACTAAAACGTGAAGCAAAAACAATTTTGTAGTTACAAGAATTGTCCGTGTTTATAACACTTGCAAAATCCTAAACTGCTTTTTTGTTGTCATCTATTGGTAATGATTTTGCACATGTGCGAAAGTGTGTAAATTCGTGCAAATTCTCACCTTCGAGCAGACGTAGGTTTCGTGAACGACGGTGCCGACATTTAACTGCTCGTGAGGCCTATCGCATTCCTTGATCCACCTCAGATCTTTTGTCTTGATCGTAATGGTTTTGTTTAAGGTACACATCGAATCGCAGCAACATGTAAAGCGAGTGTGAATGGCGTAATTCGAAGCACATCGCTTCTGAGGCATCGTTTGACCCCGGAAATAAGTCTGACAAATCCACAAAGCGCGCCCGGCTTGATGATTGGCCAAAATTGACGCATGCGCTAGTTTTGATTGACAGACTGGATCGGTCTATTAAAACTAGCATCTCTCAATAAAATTGGATTTCAAATTCATGACAATACAGTATAAAAATGAGTAATAGATCGCCTACAACTGAAGGTAGACCACCATCAAAAACAATGTATCTATGGCAACCAAACAAACACTCTTTACGAAATCAATCAGCATTGTTTGATAAAAGAAATAAACCAGATGAGTGGACGAGCAAACAGATCTCTCACTGAAAACTAGAATACTTTAAATAGATAAACCACTTGTTTACAACACAGATATTGATTCCAAACTGGCAGCAACATGAAATGTTTTGGTGAAATCAAGCGATAGAAGAAACTGAATAGCAATGAAGTCAGTGATCTCTCTGCCAGTAAAGCTGGTTACGTGTTTCTGTATGCCCTCAAAACAACTATTATATAACTGATGGTAAAATTTACGCATAAAAGTAAAATCAGAATGGAAAGACTAATCTGATATCTCCGTGAACGCACAAATGAATTCTTATGAAGAAATAGCTCACCGATAGCTTCAAAATAGTATCGATAAACTTTTACCCTGAGGCTTATCCATGTACTGGTGAGTTTACAGTTTTGTTATTAGCATCTACCAGCCTGAAAACAAGTTATCAGAGGGATCAGATCTACGAATAACAGCTGAGGTATTACTTATAATACTTACAAGCAAGGTTGTTTTGAATAGGTTACATGTTTAATAGGTAAATTCATACTTCGGAAAATAATGTTTCCTTGTTTCTTATATCTAATTTAAATATCCCTTGTGCGCATGGTTTGTCGCACAGGAAG